TATTTTCCCAAACAATGTGAGATTCTAACACGCCCTCTCACGCACAGCGTGGATCATGTCAAACAACTGTGAACAAATCGATATTGGGTGGCACCCAACATTGCATAATTGGGCCTAAATACCATGTTAGGAATATTGGGCCTAACTCCACCTAATAAAGCCGATTTTATTAGGTGGAGTTAGGCCCAATATTCCTAACAAATTTGCATAGCGAACAATTCAAATGCAAAACCTCTTTTAAGAGAGACTTAAATTGAGTTCTAATCCTTAATGGTAACCCTCAACAAATGATAAGATAGAGAAAGTCTGCGATCATTACAATTAGGGCATGTTTGATATAATTTCTGCTTCTTGTTGAAGAATTTCCTGAAAAGTTATCTTAATTGGTATTTTGAAATTAATTTTTTTTTTAAAAAAAATCTATTTTAAAAGAGTTTTTTAAGGAAGTTATTTTGAACTAACTTTATCTGATAGCTCTTCTAATTAAGAGAAGCACTTTTATAAAATTAATCAAAAAAATTCAAAAGCAGCGTTTGAATCTCAAATTGTGCGTCAATCATAAATAAATTACAAAAACGAAATTATACATAAGACACAAAAAGAGCTTCCCATATTTCGGAAAAAACTTCAATAATGACCCTATGATGATGGTAAGAATTCAAAGAAAGAAAACACTGCAACAAACTCTCAAGTTCTTTTGCCGTAAAAATCTGCATTTCAACAATCATTTCCACCATAGATGTTCTAAAATCAGTATATGGATCACTCGAACGCTTCACCACTGCTAAGCTATCTTTAACCCCTTCTTGTATTTTCATTGAACTCTCCTTAGGAATCTTCCTTTGAGCTCTTCTCGACAGAGACCCGGCCTTAAATCCTTTACTGATGCCGCATTTTTCGGTAGTGAATTCTTCTTTGTCACGAAAGTCGTACTTTTCAGTAGTCGAATGAACCTTCTTGTTTATGGTCTTTCTAGTCTTCTTCTCTATATAATTTTTTTGGAATTCGTAATGT